TATATATATATATATATATATATATATATATATATATATATATATATCTTATATATATTTTTTAGCTAATTTTGATCCAATTTCTTTTTTATAATTTGATTGTATACATATAAAATTATATACACAAATTAAAGTTCTGTTTAGACTTTCTATAGATTTTGAAACTAAACAAAAAATAAAATACTTTATTTTTTATATACGGTTTTTTCGCAGAGTAACGTTAAATTTTAATTGAATGAATATTTTCTTGATGTGAGAGAAAGAGAGAGATTAAACCTAGTAAATATTAATCGGTAATATTGCATTAATGTTATAATTTCGTACTGAATAATGTAATTGTTATGTAATTTTGTGGTGTTATGTAGTTTTATGATGTTTTGTGTTGCACTTACTTTGAATGGGAAATTATAATATAGATGCAACGTTACTATTAGTTTTGATATTTGCTAGGAATCATAGAAGAAATATTTACCCAATATTTCAGCGAAATGTTTATGATTTTTTTTTAATTCCATTATTATATTAATGGCGTCAGATTTGACAAAGCCATATTCTTCTCTGTACTTCATGATATTGAAAATAAAATCGATCAAGTTCTGTGTTGTTTTAGCATCATTGAACAGGTAGTTATTAATCCAGTTGTATAATTGTGAAGATGTCTTCCTCATTATTGTCTTCGTTAAATAACTCCAGAATGTGCCACGCATCATTTTGTAAAATGTAAAAATCTCATTCCCTTCTATTGTACCTTTTGTCAAAGTTTTCAAATCAATACCTAAAAAAATATTACCGGCCATATCGAGAGTTAATTTAAATGTCATGTCGGAACAATTTATCTCGTGACTATTCCTCCGTAACAATTTTTCGATATAATTGTCCAAACGTTCCATAGATTTTAGTATCATATGAAACATATTCTTAAGTTTATTAGGCGTTAAAATAGGTGATATTTTTGACTTTAAATGATGCGCTATTGTTCCATTCGCAAGAAAAATAGAATGGTTTATTAGTTCCACCTATGAACATAATTATTCGTTTCATATAATGAAAGAATATAATAATGATTATGACAGAATAGATACTTACTTCTACTGTAAAATCACCTCGATGAGGGAATAACTCAGCATCTTTAATAAAAACATCCTTTATATATTCAGGATCTTTTATCATTAGGATCGGTTCTCTCATGTTAAATATTCCCACGAACGGTGTATTTTCATAGGCATCGTACAGATTTTTCAAATATTCCCCTATTAGTACTTTACCGAGTATAACGTCCTTCATCGTACCAAAAAATAGAATAGGTGTAGGTCCAGGTATATTGAATTTCTTCCAAAAATTGTATGACGCAGTGAGATAATAATAAAGCAGGCAAATAATTAACCCGCAAATAATTAATAAAATTTCAACGGTTCCCAGCATATCGAGTTTGTGACAGAACGTAAGTGCTTATTACAAGTTTTAACTCTAAACATTTTTCGTCTATGGCATTTCTTTTATAGTTTACATCTAAAATTCAAAACTATAAGAGATATACACTGCTGTCATATAAATCTTAGGCCACATTACTCTTCTAGTAGAGTTGGCCACATTACTCTTCTAGAGAGATTTTAAAATAACGACTAATACACGCAGCGCGAATACGACTTCGTCAAGCAAAAAATTTTTAAATTCATAATATTAATGTATTTATTCTTGAAAATGTTATTAAAAACATGAGCAATCGCAAATGCATATCTGTTGCTCGATTACCTTATCTTATATTTCTGATATATAGCGACCGCAGTTACAAATACACACGAATAATAATAAAATAACTAACATTATTATGTAATAAAAACAATCTATTTATGGAAAAAATACATTTATTCGTGTATAAATGTAAATCACAAAATGAATTTTTCATCTTTTTTTTCTTTATTTTTTATCTTTTATTTTCTTTATCTTTTTTTATCTTTATTTTTTAAGAAAATTTCAAAATTCTCATGTTAAAAACATGACCCTAACAGCACAGATGTCCAGGAGACATCCAGAGTGCGTCCTGAGAACTTCCTGGGGACGTTTCTCTGTCCTCAGGATATCTCTGGGACATCCCCAAGAGATCTTGTGCTGTATGGAGAACAACTGACAACGCACTTTTGTTATCTGTTTTACTTATTTTTTCGTTGTATACAACAATAGTTACAAATGTAAATGATTAGAGTAAGACAAAGTAAACAACATATTTATGTAAAAAGAACAAGTCATTTGTGGAAAAAAAGAAATACATTTATTCACAAATGTAAGAGCAGCACACAAAATGAAAATATTTAAACTTTATATAAATAATATTTTTGCTTAAGAGACGATAATACTGAATAAACACAATTAAAATACTAAGAATATTATCTTCAGGAAAAGTGTGTGAAAGAAAATTGTGGAAAAACTGTAGAGGAAACTATTTGAAGAACTATAGAGAATTAATTTTAATAAATCAATATTTTTTTTTACAATAACTGTAAAGATTTATCGTTTCCGTATAGTATACTCGAAACAAAATTTAGTTTTTATGTTAATCTTGCAAATACTCTTGCAGCTTGCGGATACTAGAATGTTAAAAAGAAAACAAATACAATTTTATGATTATTTACAATTTCAACATTACCGAAATCTCCAGATCAGTGTCAAAGTTTGTTCATAACAATGTTTTATAGAACATTACAAACTACATGGAAGAAAAGTTTGATTGGATGAACCAATGTCTAGTGAATTCTACGCAATAACACTTCTAATAACTAATGAGAAACTGTCTCTTACTGTCATCTTGTCCATCCTACAAGCGCATAACAGCACACATCGCCACTCATCTACCGTATCATAACTTATCTACCATGGGTGTTTTCCATTTAATAACACAAGTCGACACAAGCATTATCCTATCTTTGTTATTCATTGAATATGGAACAAAGACAGAATGATGCTTATGTCGACTTGTGTTATTAAATGGAAAGCACTCCATATCATGATCATTCTCAAACCTTCTACGATTAATATCTCAATCATTATTGCAATTTTTGCAAAACGGCATAGGACTTTTGTGTTCACGTCAAACCGTTCTACATCTTCACGAAATATTGTGAAATCAAACTGAGATACTTTGTATAAATACAGATCCAATCTACACATCGAACGATACAAGGATATGTAGCATGTTTAAATGCGATGTATTTAATCAAGAACATCCCACCATAATTATGATTTTTCGTTCCTTTTTATTATATTAGTGGTTATAATTTAAATATATATATACATTTGTTATTTATTTGTTCAAAACAATCGCACTGTGGACCATCATTCAGCGTAAAGTTAATGTGGATACAATTGCTTGTTCAAACAATTCGTTCGTTATTGCGATGTATATCGTACACGTTACGACACCGTCATACAACTTTTCAGACGATATCGGATAATTAACGGTTAGTAAGCAATACGGATATGTATCCGGCTGATGTCTTTATCAACTGAAAACAGAATACACGAATGTATGTGAATAGAAAAGAAATAATCTCTTCAGGATTTATAACGCTCTATGTGTGCAGAGGCCGGCGTAATAATAACTATTACGCCGGCCTTCGCACACTTTATCTGTCCGTATAATTAGACTAGGCAATCTCAAAAATTGATTCTAAGGAGGATAAAAATACTTTAAATGTTATAATATAACGGTTTGTGGCCGTTTAAAGCTTAAAACTATTCAACAAAATATTATTCTTTTAGTAAGCTTCATAGTTACTCATACAATACTTTATTACTTCAGCTTTATAGCTTTATAGTTACTTTTTTTATGTAAAAAACAAAGGCGTACATGAACAGATATATAGAATATTCATAGTGTTAAATTTTTATAGAGAACACAATTTGAAAATAAAATACCTAAGAAAGTTTCTTAGGAGAGTGATTGGAAAAAGAAAGTTTGAAAAGGAACTTCTTGCGATGATGAATAAAGAAGGCTGAGATTAAACGGTCTTAGATTAAACGGACAGAGCCAGATTGCAGATGCCTTACGCTACAGAACAATGACATTGTCATGGGAAATATCTTGCCGGCGGTAATGTACAGAGGCTTCTCGGTACGTAACATCATCAGCAACATGTTTTTGGCTTGATTCGGCTTCAGCGTGTACCAGGCGAAACTGTACGTCGCATAATATACCCCTTCACACTGCGTAGATGTCATCGTATTACGAGTGATATATTTCTGTCACGATTTTCGTAACAATTTCTTTTTTCCCGTTCAGAAAAAACGTCAAGAAAGAGGCAAAGTGAGGGGCGGAGGGAGAGTGGGAGGATTGCGGTTTAATCGCAGCGTCTTTTGACGGAGCCAACTGGAAAAGCGCGTCGCGTCTCCCGCAATAGGGTAAACTCGGATAAGATGGCCATACTTTTTTAAATGCAAAGATACATTTCTTATTGTTATTTTTTTAATAGTGTTTTAATAGCAAATTACTTCACTGAAGTCTACAGTATATAATACCATCAGAGTTAAAAGGAAAATACTTCAGTAAAATTATTTATTACAGAAATATCAAAACGTGAGCATTGGCCATCTTACCGAATTTTTTCAGATAAGTTGACCATAAAAGAATAGATGATCCGTAGATATTTTATGTTCAAGTTTCTGTAACTATTATTTTATAAAATAAAAAAAAACATAATTTAATATATTTATTTTAATATAAGATATTTACTACATATTATTTGTGAAAAATATAATACACATAAAATAGAAACTTCTATTATAAAACTTAAATTCTAAATGCAATCTTTTGATCAAAACATATTGCACATAAGATTTAATTACTGTAATATTGAAAGTAATATTTGAAACGATTTTCGTTTTATAAATGTTCATAGAATGATAATAGGCTATTTTACCTAAAATGTGAATGAAAGACGACCATAGTATTTATAAAGAAGTGAAAACGAAAATAAAAATGCATGTTATACTATAATTTACATATCTACTTCACGTATCTAATTTACATATCTACTTCACGTATCTAATTTACATATTTACTTCACGTATCTAACGTTGATTGCAATAGCTTAACTGTAATTTATTCGATGTAACAGCAAGTTTTAGTGAGAAATTTTACAGGCAGTCGAAAATAAAAATATAGCATAATATTCATAATCTTCTATTTCGAAAAATATGCATATACACTAATAAATATCGATTATCTTTGACTGATTACACAAACGTAATGTTTTGCAATTGTTAGAGAAATTACAACCTATGGCCATCTTTTCCGTATGGCCATAATATCTGAGTTTACCCTACCATCGATTATTTCGCACTTAATAACGTGTACTTACTTTAGCTATGAGGACCTCGCCGACTACACAGTATAGGCACATGTGAGCGAACGTATTAATAAGTATCGAAATGAGCCAACATATTCGCGTAACGCTAACGTCCCCGCCTTTTCCGTCGATGATCTAGACACGTCGAACATATGTACGGATCATTCTCTGTGCAATCTCGGCTAGCACCCAAACAGTACAAAACGTCTCAGAATATTGGAGCACTTTCCAAGAAATTCCAAGATTCTGAAAGACATCCAAAATAATCGTTTTGTGCTGTCTGAGTACGATTACCCGAAAATATCCAATACTGTGAGAGAAAAGATATCTGGAAAATAAAAAAAATATTTATTCGATATATCTAGTGATAATATATTTATTTAAATCTAAATTCTTTTGTATAAATAAAACAAACGATTGCTCTCATAAAAATCAACAGGTTTTAGGAAAATACATATTTTCTCATTTAAAAGGAATTTCCTCTCAATATATATTAATACAACTAAATATATTATTAGTATTCATTGAATAAATATTTCTTATTTTCTTAAATATTGTCTCTCTCTCTCTCTCTCTCTGTGTATGGAATTGAATAGCATGTTAAGAATTATTCTCGAGAACTTCGACTTGATCCCGGATTCACCATATAAATATAACTAGGTAGTTTGAATATAACCCGAATTTCGGATAGCCGTCTTTATTAGCGTGACCCGATCTGAAAAATGTTGGGCATTACTCGATTAAAATTTTCTTTGATTAAAATAATCGATAAATCAATAATAAAAATTAATCAATCGTCACATATGAAATCACAAATAAATAATTACGTCGATTGATGAAATTAATTATTATTCCAACTTTGATGTGATTGTGCTTATATTCTGATTAATAATTAATTTTATCAATCGATTACATGATTTGTAATTAGAGAAAATTTTAATTAATGCTCAACACTCGACATGAACCGCCGATTCTTGTTTCTATTGCGGCTTCCCTTATAGAAATATCATATTAAGAATCATTGATAATTACTTATTATCCAGTATTTTTAATACTGAAAATAAGTAATTATCAATGATTCTTAGTATGATATTTCTATAAGGGTTTCAGACATTCGATCGGATTTTTTAATCCCGACGTATCTGTCTTTTCTCTTCCTCGATCTTTATTGCATGTATTATTTACGCAATGCTTTCTGCATTATGTTCGTTGCTACTATGATAAGAAATCGTGACGGCGTCGATATCTCATGTTACCTCGTTACACGTTGGACAGTCTAGTTCTCGTCCCGTCTCGGTAACTTACGCTAATTAATAGAAATCCTTGCATACAAAATAATATGCCGAAAAATAGTAATAGCGCCAAGAGCATCAAGTTGAATGTGTTGTCAATGACATCGACGGACCTACGAATACGATATTGTACATTACATAATGTCGAACTTCGGTCAAGTGAGCAAATGATTTCGAAGGTTATACCTTCGATGTGCAACGATATAATTAGTAGTAAGCAGAAACGGCTGCGAATAATGCGTTCGACGAGTGATCAGAACTTGCTTAAAAATCATATCAGGGTTGCTACAGAAAATCAATTTGGAAATTCCCTGACTTTTCCATGTTTTCCAGACGATAGTAAAGAATTTTTCATGACCAACATATAATCTTCAATTTTAACGAAAATTTTCAATTTTAGGAATAGAAAAAGTAGCTTATATTATTAAAAGCAATATAAATTTAGTTTAGTAACATATTCCTAACATATGTTCCAAAAAATGCATAGGCTAACAAAAATTATATGAGTATTGGAAAAAAGAATGTAATTATAAAATGGGAAAGAATGATTGAATGAAAAAACTAAGTAAAATATAAATTTTAATTATTTTGTTAACACACATCATGATGTGCATAGACTAACATAGACTACATATTCAATATAAACTAAGAAAATCTTATTTATTTTTTAAATAACATTTGATTCCTATACTATGTCTATAAACTTAAAATATAAAATAATCTGGAATTTTGGCCTTTCCTTACAATTCTTTGAAATTAAGGTAACTCTCCTGTTGAAATTAAGGTAACCTGGATTACAAGAGAACAATACACAATCTCTAGATACTTATCTTAAATCTAGAGTCACTAGGGATTTTATTAAGGTTTATTTTTTTTTTATTTTAACGTTAAAACGTTAAAACGTTAAAATTAAAAAAATAAACTTTAATAAAATCCCTAGTGACTCTAGATTTAAGATAAGTATCTAGAGATTGTGTATTGTTTTCTTATAACCCAGGTTACCTTAACAGGAGAGCTACTTTAATTTCAAAGAATTGTAAGGAAACACCAAAATTCCAGATTATTTTATATTTTCCCTGACATATCCCGGTTTTCCATTATAAAATTTTCAAATTTAAATTCCATGACTTTTCCCGGTTTTCCTGGTTTTTCGGGTCTGTAGCAACTTTGCGTATACATTTTTGTCATAGATCAGATTACCTCAGCAATGCAAAGATTCCGTGAGATTCTGACCGTGCACCTATCATTTGCATGGAGATCAGCACAAGAAACGGTATACACATAAATCCTGATCACATGACAGAGACATAGAGTCGCTAATAATCGAGAGAAAGCAGTACAACCTGATGAGACGTAAGTGGTCCTTGATATTGTAGGATAACCCGGCGTTGAAGTCTCGGAAGTTGTGCAAATTGAGCAAACGATACTTGAGAATGTCCAGTTGGGCGCATATGTGAAACACCACCAGACCCAGAAAATTGTCGATGCCCGTGTAAGAGATCGCTGCGAACGAGATCGACAAAGCTTGGCCGATGAACGCGATCTCGAAGAACGGGCTCTTTATCTCGTGAAAGAAGTACGATTGCAGCAGCAGCGTTTTGCCCGGGTCCGTGACGTTCGTCTGGTATCTCATCGAGTACCCGAAGCACGGTGGTATGATGAGAATAATACTCGCCAGGGTCATCATGATACCGCCGAACATGACGATCATACGGGCGATTCTCGCCTGCTTGATCATGGTCTTCCGTTCCAGCGTCGTTTTCGTCTTGAACCAGTCGTTCACGATCATGTTCACGAGCGGCTTGAGTTCTTCGGAGAGAACAACACATGTTTTATGGACGTCAAACCGATTCTCTTTCGAGAAATGGCTAAATCCAAATATGTCGAACGAGGTGCTAATGTTCGTGCGGAATTGGACATTGTTCCAATAATTGGATATTTTTGAAACTTTTGTGCTGCGGAGAAACGCTGGATTTGACTCCCACAATTGGTGATGATCAATTGGTTGTGCCACAAAAGTGACACAATTCAGTTAGTGCAACCGAATTTTTTGTTACCTGGGGACCAGACGAAAAACTCGGTTATAGAAAACTGTTGGAGAGGTTTCTACTCGGCCAATTGCTCTCAGCGATCGCAACCGGGTTCTGACGCAACTGAATATTCAGACAAATGTTTTCACGTTAATAGAAATATTATATTTCGTTTTATCTCTATTCAGTCGCATGAACTGAGATTTTGTTTCCGTGTGTGAAAGGAAAAAAAGGATAAAAGTTCCAATACAGGTCTAATGCAACTGAAAGGAGCAGGCCTAAGGAAAAAAAATCAAGCTGTTGCTGAAACACGTTTCCCAATCCGCAAGTCAAATCCAGCACTGTCCGAATAAATCTTCATGGATTTATGTTCAAGTCGAACTTCACTTGCCATACACACGAATGAATCCTCGAGTTGCCTATGCTCGCTATCTACAATTCGCGTCACTCGAGATAACGTTTGGTCTATCTGCGTCGAATCTCTTTACCTTCTTTGCGAATCCACATGATGAAGAATTTCATGACCGTCACTGAGAAGGGCACGGAAATCTGCAGATTGTCGGTGAATGCCATTATGTCGCCCCACACATGGAACAAGGCGAACGTCTGGGGCAAGATCGCCGTGAACATCATCAGAAAAAAAATGGAGAAGGCTTGCGCATCTGCGATGAGATTTTGTCGACGGGTCAGCTTATCGTCGGGCCAGAGACCGAGGATTTTCAAGGAAACCCGATTTATTCCGATCGCCCATTCTAAATCTATAATCATTGTCCAGCTGTTACTCATAAAATCAACAAATAGAGACGAGTGGAAACTGAAACCCTGATGAATTGTCGCGACCAAAGCGAATCAACAATCCAGACAATTGTTGTCTATCTCGTCGCACCAAATCACCTGTTATCGAGACGGATAATTTCTTCCGTCGGACATGTTCTTCTCGATAACGGCCACGCGTAAAAATTGACAACGTGCGAAAGTGACAGCCGATTCTTATCGGATTCTAGTAGAAGCGAGCTGCCAAGACACGAGTCTCTTTCGGCACGCGTGACGAATCGTTTCGAGGAGCTCATGCGACGATCAGGAGTTCTTGAGAATCTCGAAGATCTCGAGTGCTTCGAGAGAACGCCGTGGAGATTAATTATTATCGCGATATAGCAATTCAAAATATCCCGCGTGTATCTAGATACTCCGCGTGTACATCAACGTGTTGTTCATTTTATATCTGAAATGTCAAATGCCCAAGAATTTCCAAAATCCTCAGGATCTCCGAAATATCCAGGACTCTCGAGAACTCGATCAGTTTTGCGTGATACTCGAAGTGACTCATATCTTCACGTGACAAAAATTCAAACATCCATCACTGGTCTCCCATGATTTCCGTCTCATTCGCGCATTGCTCGAACGGATTGATGTCGTGTGATACGAATAACATCTCCGTCGGATGAGGATGACACACGAACACACCGCGAATGACCGACCAACCTGTCCGTGCCACTTGTTCAGAGCTGTCCATGTCCGAGGCTACACGGAGACTGACATTTTTTTATAAATCCAACATTCTCCCTCACCTCTGTCTTTCTCAGGGCGTAGCGAATCACGCATGCCCACGGCAAAAGTTCCGAAAACCACGTGGCGAGGTGTAAGGTGTGCGGGCGCACATAAATATTTCTCGCGCGATAATGTTCGCCTTGCGCCTTTTTTTTTCTTTGCGTCTTCTTCTTCTTCTTGTTTTTTTAGCACGTATTTAACCGCAATTGCCAGCTCGAGAGCATCGAATTCGCGCGGCCTAAACGGCGCATCGCTAACGAGCCTATGAATAATCAAACAGGTGCAACGTCCTCCATCTTTTTTTCCGACGTTCATCATTAATTTAAGAGTCCCACCTCTCTTCTCGACTCTCTTCGCCGAACTCGCACTTTTTCAACAATTTGTCTTTTCTGCGAACCGGCGTCCCTTTTGCGCGTCGGGCTGAAACTTTCGGTGACGCAAAAAATTCGCATCGAACATCACCGAAGGTTCACGACCGATGCGTCGGATAACATGCGTTTTATAGCGACACGAGGAAATTGAAAGTGGACGCGACACGCAATACGGATTATAAGTACTGACGAAACTGGACGGGTGCACGGCCGTCGAAAGGGTAGGAAGGGTGTGACTGGACAGCTGGAAATTGTCTCGATTAATGCAGTGCGAAGTTCAGAGACTCACAATCAGATAACCGCGAGTACTCCGGGCAAAATACAAAATAGGTGATTAATTAGGAGTGCCCGACGGTGTCGTTACGGTTCGTTGAAGTGGTGTGTTCGTGTGTTACATAATTAGTGAAGATTGCCCTAGTAAACACCACTAATAGTAATATTAAATCAATGTTATAACTTCTCACTCAACAACGTGACGATTACATACACAATACACATAATCAGAATATTATTTTTTTTTAATAAATTTTTTTTAATTTTATTATGTTTCTAGAATAGATTGTTAGTAAAATCTGTCTCTAAGGATCATAAATTTCTGAAATATAAGTAGTACATATAAAGTAAAAAGAATAATAAATTACTGTAGAATGTCGATCTATCTCGTGCGTTTACAAAATTCGATGTTTTCTATATATAATTTAATTTTTCTAATCTAATTTCTACTATAAAATTCTCTCCGCGTATATTGTGTTGCATTTATGTTGTTAAGTAGAAAATTATAACATTGATGTTATATTTAAAAATACTTAATAATGTATGTTTATTTGTTTATTTATGTAATTAATGTTACTGTTAATGATGTTTATTGAGTAATAGCAAATGCATGTCGAGTTCTATCGAGTGAAATCGATTAGATCGCATTTGGATAGGAGGAAGACAGACAGAGATGAGGAAACGTTCTCGATGCGAATATACAGTTACTTATTGTGACTAGTTACACAAATGAGAATTATTTTTTCCCTTATACAAAACTCGCAATTTTGCCAATTGCTCACGCAATCGAGCAGGCATCGTAATAATTGATCGACGAGTCACTCGAGCGTCACTCATTAAGTGTATTCTCTTATCGTTTTGCCGTAAAAGATTGATTCTCCATTGGAGATTGTCCACGTCAGTGTTCAGAGGCATCATCGGTTAGTCAGCAACACAGATATGTAACCGGCTGACGTCTTTATCAACTGGAAACAAAATACATGAGGAAATAATGTCTGTAAACCACGAATATTTTTTGGAAATTTTGCGTCACATACAACCGACATCAATTTAAGATTTTCCCTCTCTCTCTAATATTTGATTTAGTATAAAATATTAAATAGTATTCCAGAATATTTAATATTATAAATAAATGTTGCATAATATAAAATATAAAATAATATTTAAAAATATTTAACACACATACATTAGATACTATTTATTAGATCTAATATAAAATATTAAATCTTAGAGACGGTCTAATATTCTACGAAAAGGTCGTAACTCAAATGGAAGTGCGACACAACAGATTGCCTTACGCTGCAAAACATGGAGAGTGTCATAGGAAATATCTTCCCCGCGGTAATATAGAGAGGTTTGTCCGCGCGAATCATTATCAACATCAGGTTTCTGGCTTCGTTCGGCTTCAACGAATACCACGCGTAGTCGTACACCGCGTAATATATTCCTTCGCACTGTATACACAAATGTTATTATTGCTATTTAAGCGCCTAAGATCTCCGATGGCGAGGACAAGATAGGATTGTCAGAATAATATATGAACTGTGCCTGAACTCGTCGCGGGATGTACGGATGAGCAAAGGGCGCGGTAAAGAAGTAATGTACTTACTTTCGCAATGAGAATCTCGCCGACAACGCAGTAGAGGCACATGTGAACGAAAGTGTTAACAATGACCGACGTGAGCCAACATATCCGCGGGAAGGAGACGCTCTGGTTCTCCTCGATGATCTAGACACGTTAACATACATGTGACTGCCATTATATTCTTATTCTATGTGCAAGTTCACAATTGTAATGTATAAGTATATAAATGTCGATTAAACTATCATTTCTTAAAAGTAAAATACATTACTTATACGAGAAGGTAGTGAAATGGAAGCTCTCGTGTGCGTATGTAGCTTCGTGACAATTTATTGTTATACGTACTGTAGCACATTCGCGCGGGGATAAGTTTAGCTGTTTGTATATCGTTTTTACCAATTTTGTGTCATGGAAAATAGAATATTATTCTCCTGATATATACGAGGCTTTCGCGGTGTGGAGAAATGCTAAATTTGGCTTTCGGGTTGAAGCTGCGTTTCCTGCGAATTTATTTCCAATGTTTCGTAAACATTTCAGTTCACTTCGTTAAAGAAAGGAGCCTCGATCTCATCAGAGTGCTCATCTCCCTGATGAAGTGAGTTGAGACGTTTACGGAACGTTGGAAACAAATCCACAAGAAACGCCATTCAAATCAGTAGCAGTTGAAAGTAACCTCTCTCTCTAACAGAGACCCAGCATCACCCTCCTACTTCTTTTAACTTACGCTGATTATCAGAAAGCCTTGGAGACAAAATAATATAGCGAAATACACTAGCAGCGCCAGAAGCATTAAGTTGAACGTATTTTCGATGACATCGACGGACCTACGGAACATAGAGTCCCATGAAGAGTGCAGCCGCTCGAATCTGATCTGACTTAGACAGCACAAATGTCTACACGGAATAAGAAAATTTCGGTTGGTGTAACAGCAAAGGGACTAAACGAAAATTCGACGACGAGAAACGATATATCTGAACTTTCGGCTGCGTTAAAACTCGGCTCAACTAACTGAGAGCAAATGATTATGCAGAAGTTTTCTGCAGGAATCTTTTTCTTCCTAAAATCGATTCTTCATCTGATCTCCGAACAACAGGAAATCTGTTACACAAACTGAGTTTTTTTCCGTATAAACACGTCTTACAAACATCTGAAAGACGTGCAAGACAAGTAAGATGTTTTTAGACATCTCTAAGGCTCAAATTAGTAGTAGTATTATTTGAAATTTGTAAACAGACAATGGCTCTTTAGAAACCTGACAGACAATAGTAATTAGCAACCTGATGAGGCGTATGTGATCCTGCACATTGACCGACAGTCCGACGTTGAAGTCTTTGTAAACGTGTAGGTTAAGCAATCGCAGTTTGAGGATCTCCATCTGGGCGCATATATGAAAGACGATCAGTCCCAGGAAATTGTCAATACCCGTGTAAGAGAACGCGGCCATGAAGACGGCCGCGGCCTGGGCGACGAATGCGATCTCGAAGTATGGGCTCTCCGTCACGTCGTGTAAGTAATACGTTTGTAGCAGCAACGGTGCGCCCGGGTCCGTGATGTTCGTCAGGTACCTCATCGAATATCCGAAGCACGGCGGAATGATGATGATGATTATCGCGAAAACCATCATGATGCAACCAAACATGACGAGCCTCCTCGCTATCAACGCTTGCTTGATCATGGCGTCCCGCTCTCGCTCCGTCTTCGTTTTGATCCAATCCGCCACGACCATGCTTATGATAGGTGTGAGATCTTAATACGGACACAAGAATGCCGAACTCGTTAGTTTATCGTCGTTCATAAGAGTTTGGAATACGGAAACGAACAAACATCGATCCCGGAATTATTCGCGATTGTGAGACAGCGGAAGCGTGGTGGAGAAGAAGAGATCCTTGAAATTTCTTCAAGAGTGAGAAAAAAGTTTAACACGTTCGCCACCAGAGTCACATATGTGTACACTGTAAAAACTGATGTGTTAAATTTAACACATTTCATGTGTCCCAAATCATCCACTCTCATTTATGTGTAAATTTAACATAAAACAAATGTGTTAAAAAGTAACACGCATAATATGGAAAAAATTAACACAAGAATTTAACACTTAAATACCGTTAGAAATCACAGGTTGTGTTAAATTGACATGTTTAATACGTCAGACATAGATTATGTCCATTTAACATTTTCATTTCATCAAAAGCATAGATTAATGTTTCTCTCAAATGTTAAAGTAACATTTTATTTTAGTTAATTTAATATTATACATATGTCAATTTAATACAAACTATGATTCCTGACGATATTCAAGTGTTAAATTCTTGTGTTAATTTTTTACATATTATGCGTGTTATTTTTTATCACATTTGTTTTTTGCTAAATTTATACATAAATGAGAGTGGACGATTTGGGACACATGAAATATTAAATTTAACACATCAGTTTTTACAGTGTAATTATTTTTTATAATTAATATATATTTTGTCATTATAAATATATAATTATATATAAAATGTTTTGTTTTATATTTAATTAATATAATTGAAGATGTACAACATTAAATTATAATTATCAATAGATGTAAAAATATAAAAGTTAACATAATTTTCCATATGAACGAATATGTTTTACACAATTTTACGCAAAATACAGTAATCTGTGGGAGGAACTTTCCAAATGAACTGTGATAGCGAAGTGTTATTTGGCGTGTTGTCACACATCGATATTATGTCTCGTGATAAGCCATAAGATCTTTACCTTCTTTTCGAAGCCACATAATGATGATTTTCAAGGAAGTTATAATCATGGGTAGCGTGATTTGCAAGTTGTCTATCATTGCTATCATATCGCCCCAGACTCTTATCAATGAAAACAGTCCGGGTATGACCGACACGAAGAACACCGTGCAGAAAATGGCGAAGGCTCGTATGTCCGCGAAGAATTTTTGCTGACGATTTAGTGTCTCGTCGGGCCAGAGACCGATCATCTTCAGAGTAAAGCGATTTATCCCGACTGCCCATTCTAAATCTGTACAATCGATCACGATGTTAGCAAATGTCTGCCGGTAATGACGCTCGTAATGATGTTTGCTTTCAGACGTTAGCAAATATCTCTGATAGCATAGTATATTCTATCCCAAACAGCATAAATGTCTAAAATACGTCTTACATCTGAAAAACATAAAAAACAAGTAGTGTTTTTTAAACGTCTCTAAAAATGTCTTTTAGGCACACATTTCTGCTATCTGGAATGCAATGCCAAAAATAATTTCGTGAGAATATTCTCGTGGAATCATCACTTTTTGTGAAACTTTATTGCGGACGTCGGAGCAAGTCTATGTCTGTTTTCATCTACGATTTTTATAAAGTATCGTTTGCAAATAAAACATTTGTGTGTACGTCGACTCAAATACAAGGTAATATCAAAAGTTTTTCAAAGGGCTGATTTTTCAATGTTCATTTAAACTTAGATTTTAACTTAAACTCTGTTTCAACAAAACAAACGCATTGTTAGAATAGAGTTTAAACTTGAATCCAAATTTAAACTGCTATTGAAAAACCAACCCTAAATGGTATATTCCGATTGTAGATTATACGAAATTTTATAAAAAAATTTTATAAAATCATTTTTATGAAGGTATATTTAACGTTACGTGGAACATTCACAGAATATACTGAAATTTATTTCGAATTTGTAAACATAATTTCAACTTGATATCAAGAAGTTAAATTTATTCCTGATGAACAAAAAAACAAGTATGTAATAAACGTACATCAATTCACGATCTTATATTAGTTCATGATCACATAAGCATGTACATTTTATCACATTTTAGTTTGCTCTGATCTGAACAGTAGCGATCACTTAAATATATATTCAATAATAAGTTATTTAATATTAATAATTAATATGTTCAATATAATTAAGAATTAAGAAAATATTTTTGGAAATATCTTTCTCCCGACAAGCGAATCTTATTAACGACGTGTCGCGCATTAGTATGTGTTTGTTGAGCAAAATATAATTCTTCTTTGTAAAATCAGCGCGACCATCAGCCATACGCACACATTTACACACACGCTCACACACCTGCGTATTCGTCATCTTTAGAGCTGTCCATGTCCAAGACTACATGAAGACTAACTTCTTTTTTTCTTCTTTTTTTCAAGTCCGTCCACACTCTCTTTGGAAGACGATAATTACGCATGCTCGCGGCGATATTTCGATGAGTCATGTACTGAGATGCAAAGTACGGGGTCTCATAAATATTTCAGAAAGACATACCAGTTCGCCCATAATACGCTTCTTTGCTTCAGCCGCGAATTCAGGGACTATTAAAGTTTGCCGATCAAGTGATCGAATTCGCATAGCCCACCGCTAACTGGAGTTCATAAATATCTAAACGTAGTAAATGATGGGTGTAGCGTTCATATCCATTTCTTGCCTTTTATGACTAATTTCTCCACGAATACCAAGTAGATTCAAGTTTCGTCTTTCTTTATTCGGCTTGAATTTTTTCCAAATTTAATCGCCATGGCGAAACTATAACAGCGCGCGAAATAAACGTCTCAAGTTGCACTGTAAAGTTTCATGAACAATATCTCGGTGAACGTATTGTTATGGCAACGTAAAAGAGACAACAATGGCAAGACGAAGTTGCGAGGCTTGCCAGATAGTATTACGAAGACGTAACGTGTGAACTTCTGTCAGCAAAATTCGTGGATTTTGCGGTGAAATGTGCAATTGCTGATGCACTGTAGTAACAGTAAATCGAAATACGTGGGATTTTTATTAAAAAATAAAAGGTAATTCCTTTCTGTTTTTCTCTTTCCCTCCGTGTTATTTAATTTTATTATATACCATACATTTGTCTGTTTATTTTCATTTCGTAACATGTATAGTTACATAATATATTAATATATATGCTATATAGTAAAAACTTAAGTAAAATCAAATTATATTGGATAAATTCTGAAATTAAATAAATATTTGCATATCTATTCGTATATCCAATATTAATTTATGTAAACATCCATACATACACAAAACAGTTAGTTGATTCTTGTCATTTTCAAGAATATATCTACGTCTGGTTTATTAACCATTTCATTAATAGTTAATTTTAATAATGTTTTTTCACAAACATCAAGTTTGTAATTACGCAGAATACTGATAAGTGCAATTTTAATTTGAAGAACAGCTAATCTTTCACCTGCAACATGTTGTATTTGATATATTCAGAAAAAGATATAACATATATAAAACATAATAATTATATATAAAAATATTATTTTCTTATCCCAGCAAACAAGATGACGTCAAATGATATCTTAATGAAGTATTATTGACGTTAGAGACGTCAATAATACGTCTTTAAGACGTCATTTGATGTCATCTTGTTTGTTGGGATGTATGTTCATTTAAGTATTTAGTTGAGTATTTACTTTTAAAATTCTTTTTAAACAGGAACAGTTCCTTTTATATTGTAAGAAACATATATAATTATTTTATCTACGCACATATATTTACCTTATACTATCTATATGTCAAATATTTTACATTCTCAAATTAAATAAATGTTTATTTACCGATACAATTTCTTGGTCCACGTCCAAATGATAAGAAATATGTTGAATGTTGTATAGTTTGATCCATGAATCTATCTGGATCATAGATTTCTGGCTGAGGGTATATTTTTGAATCATAATGGATTGCATATAAAGGTATGAGAACTTTCTGGTTTTTTTGCACAGTTATATTAGTATTTTTAAAAGTATAACTTGATGATGTTTCTCGTTGTATGCAATCTGCTACTGGATATTTTCGCAACGTCTCTAAAAACAAAACAATTATCACAAAGTAGCATTAAATCAATTTACGTATCAGTAAATAAGTAAGCTTTAATGCTGTTATTTATCAAATTGCTTAAATTCAGCTTAAATTCAACGTTATTTCATTACAATAGAAATAAAAAAAGAAGGACTAAATTATTACAAAAATAGAATTATTACATTAAATGATTTTGTTGATTGTAATTTTAAACTATGGAAATAAATTGTAACTTTAATTTTAAATTATCAAAATAAACAAGCAACGTAAAAAGTATATATCTTGTGAGTTGAGCATTTTAATATATTTACCATAAATGATTGCCTTTAAGTAAGGCATTGCGTTTATATTCTCAAAATCCATTTCATTATTGTTTCTTTCGTACACGTCCCGTATTTCTTTTCGTAATTTATCTTGAACATTTTGATTTAAAGCCAATTCGTACAATGTGAGACAAATCGTTACTTTAGATGTCTCGTAGGCAGCAAAGATCAGAGTATAAACTTGCGAAGCGATAAACTCATCAGTTATATCTGTGTCTAAATAGATAAATAAAAACTTTCTCAGGTTTATTATACCTCAAATTTGCTATTTCTCTCTCTCTCTCTCTCCCTCTCTATCTATCTATCTATTTATCTCTCTTATACAGGATGTCCCACAATTGGTAGAACACTCGTTAGAGGTAGGTAGGGAGTGAAATTTGACACTGAAAGTTCCTCTTCCATTTTTGGATTCGACAATTAGTTAATGAGATATTAATTAATTAAGTCTGCCAATCCCTTTGCGCTCCGAGTGAGTGTTCAGGGTCAAAAGAAACCGTAAGCGCCTCAAGAGTCCTGCTTGTCCGTTTTTCTCCTCTTTTTGTACACAGACACTAAAATCATTCACGGCACTCAACTACTGACATGCAGAAAACATTCAAGTCACCCATACACTCGAAGGAAGCATACCACATATGCCATTTGCACTAAAAAAACTCAAATTATCTACGCACTCATAACCGCACATAAAAACATCCCCACACACTGAAAACTTGCCACTCCCTAGCCCCGGTCAGGCACCCACTCACACACCCACTCAATTACTCATCTATATTTATTCCCTTGAGATATAAAAAAAGAGAAGAAAAACGGACAAGCAGAGCCCTTGAGGAGTCTATGGCGTCCTACGGTCCTGAGGGCTCACTCGGAGCGCTAAAGGATTGGTAGATTTAATTAATTAATATCACATTAACTATTTGTCAAATCCAAAAATAGAAGAGGAACTTTCAGTTCCAAATTTCACCCTTTATCTACCTCTAACGGGTGTTCTATTAGTTGTGGGACACCCTGTATATATTTTTTTTAGCTAATTTTGATCCAATTTCTTTCTTATAATTTGATTGTATACATTTAAAATTATATACACAAATTAAAGTTCTGTTTCTATAGATTTTGAAACTAAATAAAAAATAAGATACTTTATTTTTTATATACGGTTCTTTCGCAGAGTAACATTAAATTTTAATTGAATGAATATTTTCTTGATTTGAGAGAAAGAGAGAGATTAAATCTAGTAAATACCAACCATCGGTAATATTGCATCAATGTTATAATTTCTTACTGAATAATATAACTGTTATGTAGTTTTATTGTGTTATATAGTTTTATGATGTTTTATGTTGCACTTACATTGAGTGGGAAACTATAATATTGATATAACGTTACTATTAGTTGATATTTGCTAGAAATCATAGAAGAAATATTTACCCATTATTTCAGCGAAATGTTTACGATTTTGTTTTAATTCCATCATTATACTAATGGCGTCAGATTTGACAATGCCATGTTCTTCTCTGTACTTCATGATATTGAAAATAAAATCGACCAAGTTCTGTGATGTTTTAACATTATCGAATAGGTAGTTATTAATCCAGTTGTACAATCGTGGAGATATCTTCCTCATTATTATCTTCGTTAAATTACCCCAGAATGTTTCACGCTGTTTCAGTTTGGAAAATGTAACAATCTCATTTCCTTCTGTCATACCTTTCGTTAAATTTTGCATTTCAATACCTAAAATAGTATGACCGACTACATCGAGAATTAATTTAGACGCCATGTCAGTACAATTTATCACGTGACCGTTCCTGGATAATAATTCTTCGATATAATTATCCAAAAGTTTCATAATTTTTAGCATCATACGATACATATCTTTAAGTTTGCTAGGCATTAAAATAGATGATATTTTTGATCTAATAGGTTGCGCTATTCTTCCGTCCGCAAAGAAAAAAGAATGTTTCATTATGTCCTCCTGTGTGAATATATGAATATAATTATTAATTTCACATAATGAAGAAACATCCCACGCAGCAGAAATATTCAAAATATATCATTGGGATATCCTAAAGATATTGCAACATTTCTAGGATATCCCCATGATATATTTTGAACATTTCTGCTGTGGGATGATCATGATTATAATGGAGCAGATACATACGTTTCTTTCAGAAAAGAAACCTCGGCTAGAAAATAACGCAGCATCTTTAACAAAAATATCCTTTATATATTCAGGATCTTTTATCATCAGAACCGGTTCTCTCATGTAAAACATTCCTACGAACGGTGTATTCTCATAGATATCGTACAGATTTTTCAAATATTTTTTAAGTGATGTTTTGTGGAGTATAACGTCCTTCATTGTACCAAAAAATGGCATAGGTGGAGGTCCAGGTATATTGAATGTTTTCCAAATATTGTAGGGTGCAGTAAGATAATAATAAAGCAGGCAAATAATTAACCCGCATAAAATTACAACAATTCCCAACATATCGAGTCTGTGAACGTGAGTGTTTATTACAAGTTTTAACTGAAAATGTGTTACGTCTATGATATTTTTTTTATAGTTTACGTCAAATTCAAAACGATAAGAGATATACACTTTTGTCGTATGTGATTCACTTCTGAACTTAAAAAATTACAACACCATTTCACGAATTTAGTAGAATAAAGAATATTTCAGACCACAATCGTAGATCACATTACTCTTCGAATAGAGGTAATTTTAAAATAACACACGCAGTCCAAGTTACGACTCATCTGACAAGTAAAAGGTTTTTGTATTTATACCTTACAATATTTATGTATTTATTCTTGAAAGAAATTACAACGTTTTCATGTTAAAAACATGTAAACATGAGTAACCACAAATGCACGTTTATTACCCGATTTTCTTATAGTATGCAGAAACAGTTACAAACGTACACAAATAATGGAGAGTAACTTGCATTATTATGCAAGAAAAACAAGCCATTTCGTGGAAAAAAAGAAATACATTTATTCAAAAATGTAAAAAAGCACGAAATGAATTTTTCATTTTTTTCCTTTTCTTTATCTTTCATTTTTATCTCCTATATCTTTTTTTACATAAAGTATTTTTACGTGTGAGGTGATAATATTGTATAAACATTACCTACAGCAGAAATGTCCAAAATATACCATTGAATTATCCTAAAGATATCGCAACATCTCTAGAATATCCCTTAGAATATAATGTATTTTGAATATTTCTGTTGTGTACGTATGCAATTAAAATATTAGCAACCCAGATAGCACAGAGAATTAAAAAAAATTCAAAAAGAATTTAGTCGTGTATGTCACCAATTCTGAATTCAGATTTTCAGATGCAAAAAGAATTCTTCATAGTTTAGTTCAGTGAAAAGAATTTTTTTTGCATCTAAAAATGAACTCAGGAATGGTGACGTACGACTGAATACTTTTGGAATTTTCTGTGCTATCTGGAAATATCATTTTTAGGAAAAAGAATTTGTCAAAAAAATTCTAGAAAAACTGTAGAAAAAACTAATTGAAAAATTGTAGAAATATTTATAGTTAATTTGAATGGATTAACAATTTTCTTTTTACAGTAATCGCAAGAACTATATTTTCCATATCCCACACAGCATGTGATATATATAATATCACAGTAATATTTCAATAATATTTCTGCGATATTACAATATTACGGAAATATTACTGTGTTATTATATAATATTGCGTGCTGTGTGGGATATATACCAGAGTCAAAATTTAAGTTCTACGTTAAACTTGCAAATCGTTGTTAAAATCAAACAAATTTAATTATTAGAATAATTATTAGAATTATTAGAATAATTCAAAACAACTAATATTTGGTGAAAAAAATACTAGCGACTAAAAATTATCATATTTTATATATGCGCGTCCTTCCCTTATAGAAATATCATACTAAGAATCATTGATAATTACTTATTATCCAGTATTTTTAATACTGAAAATAAGTAATTATCAATGATTCTTAGTATGATATTTCTATAAGGGTTCTGTGGTTTCGATCCCGGATCTAACCCAAAAATGTGATAAATTGACGGATATTACCGGTGTAATCAAAATAAAAGACTTATTAATGGAAAAATTAAATATTCTTAAATTAAAATAAAACATTTGTTTAATTTTTCTCTTCCGCTGTGAAACTATAAATATCATGCGATGATCTTTTATCGACAGTTATTAACCCAAAATATCGACCTATATCGATCAATGAATCAAATATGGTCGCATGGTTTGCGCTCACACTTAAGCACGCTCTAGGTATTCATGAGAGTGTATGAAGTTGGCACCCCACTTTTTGAAATTTATAATTTTGAAAGTTGTTCCAGATTGTTCTGACTTTGTACCACATTGTTCCAAATGATATTGCTTCATTCGAAACGGTTTTCGAATAAAACAAAAAAAATGATTTTTTGAGCTGGCACCCCACTTTTCGAAAATCGAACATTCTGATACCGCAATAGATTGTTCTAGTTGTTCCAAACATTGTTCCAAAAGGACAAATCCGTAAGTTGAATTATAAGTTCAAAAAATGAAAAAAATGTTTTTGATCTGGCACCCCATTTTTTGAAAATAAAGCATTCCGATACCGATATAGATAGTTCTAGTTGTTCCAAACATTGTTCCAAAAGCACAAATCAATAAGTTTAATTATAAGCCCGAAAAATTAAAAAAAAGTTTTTTGACAAACAGTCTATCGGACCAAGAGTAAACTTATACTATCTTTCTTGTTCTCCGAAAATTTGTAAAAGAATCGATTTGACAATACTCGACGTCAAGAGTAAACACATGCTTCCTTTCTTGTTCCAACCGAGATCTTTTTGTTCTGAGTTGTGCTAGGCTTAAGAATTATAGTTTTAAAGTATGAGACTCGTAACATCGTCCGTTCTCCGAAAATTCGAAAAAAAATCTATTTGACAGCACCCGACGTCAAGAGAAAACACATGCTTCCTTTCTTGTTCCAAATGAGATCTTTTTGTTCTGAGTTATACTAGGCTTAAGCGACGAAGCAATTTCACTTTATTTTGTCATGACATTTTGTAATTATATCCGCCAATTTTCCTATTTTTTTTCGAATTTTCGGAGAACGGATGACGCTACGAGTCTCATACTCTAAAACTATAGTTCTTAAGCCTAGCACAACTCAGAACAAAAAGATCTCGGTTGGAACAAGAAAGGAAGCATGTGTTTACTCTTGACGTCGAGTACTGTCAAATCGATTTTTTTACGAATTTTCGGAGAACAGATGATCTTATGAGTCTCATACTCTAGAACTATAATTCTTAAGCCTAGAACAACTCAGAACAAAAAGATCTCGGTTGGAACAAGAAAGATAGTATAAGTTTACTCTTGGTCCGATAGACTGTTTGTCAAAAAACTTTTTTTTAATTTTTTGGGCTTATAATTAAACTTATTGATTTGTGTTTTTGGAACAATGTTTGGAACAACTAGAACTATCTATATCGGTATCGGAATGCTTTATTTTCAAAAAATGGGGTGCCAGATCAAAAACATTTTTTTCATTTTTTGGACTTATAATTCAACTTACGGATTTGTCCATTTGGAACAATGTTTGGAACAACTAGAACAATCTATTGCGGTATCAGAATGTTCGATTTTCGAAAAGTGGGGTGCCAGCTCAAAAAATCATTTTTTTGTTTTATTCAAAAACCGTTTCGAATGAAGCAATATCACTTTGGAACAATGTGGTACAAAATCAGAACAATCTGGAACAACTTTCAAAATTATAAGTTTCAAAAAGTGGGATGCCAACTTCATACACTCATGGGCTTGAGCGTTTTAAGGAGCATAGACTTTTGCATAACGCATAAGGAAATCAATCAATCAGATTTCTTCATTTTCCTCTCCAGGATAGAAACGAAGAACTTTGATTGGTTGATTTCCTTATGTGCTCTGCATCATGATGGAAATATATAAGGGCTGCGTTCCGAAATTCACTGCCAGTACTGAAAATGTATAGTTCATGTCACGTATACTATAGAATTTCAGCACTGGAAATGAATTTCGGAACGCAGCCAAGGTGTAGTGTTGCGCATCATGGAAGTGGGAGAAGAACTAATCAGAAAGTTGCCCAAAAATATTAAGGGCAGCCATTGATTTTTTCCAATTTTGGACAACTTTCTGATTAGTAACTACTGAGCATTCAGCGGAACGCTACACCTTGTATATTTCCACCATGCTCCACATTATGCGTTATGTAAAAGTCTGTGGCGTTATGTAAAAGTCTCAGGCTCTTATACTGATTGATCGAATTTTACTTAGGCTGAGTTCCCACTGAGCGCGTCATGCGTCGCGTCGTCTGCTGCGTCACGAGTTAATCAAATCCTCTAATTGAAATGACGCGACGCGCGACGCACGACGCACTGTTCCAATGGAACGATTTGATTGGTTAATTCGTGACGCAGGCAGACGACGCGTCGCGTGACGCGCTCAGTGGGAACTCAGCCTCAGTCCCGATCTACAATAGGTATAGTAAGCTTTAAACTTTAAGAAATTGACTAATCACAGTCGAATTATAGAGGAATAATCAATTGTGATTGGTTAATTTCTTACGGCTTAAAGCCTACTACACTTATTGTAAATCGGGACTTTCCGTTTCACAATTCAGAATCTTCAGAGCCTCCGCACAAGAATATCCGTAACATGTTAAGTTTACGGATTTCTTTGTACGTTGACTTAAGTTTAATTTTTCGTACAGGTATGGCCATTGCATTGTCAGTACTTAACGTAACGTAAAGCGTCTTCTACAATGGCAGTAGGAGTAGTAGTAAGAAATAAGCAGTAAGTAAATAGACCAATCACAATCGATTATTTTTGAAACGTAAGAATGGAATTGGTCAATTTGCTTACTGCTTATTTCTTACTACTACTCCTACTGCCATTGTAGAAGACGCTTCACATGTAATGGATGTGCTTGTGCGGTGGCCTCATGCCCCTTGTCCATAACCTTGTTTTAATCTTTAAGCCGTAAGATATTGACCAATCATAGTTGATTATTTTTAAAATAATCGACTGTGGTTGGTCAAAGCAAGGGGATAGTGATACGAACTTAAGGAGAACAAAAGAAGAAAATAACGTCTTCCTTATCTTGTTTCTTCGTATATTAATGGTTTAATGTATCCTTGCTTTTTGTACTTTTGGCCAATGAGGACAGATTCGCGTAAGTATAGATCAAGTACAATCTTAAGTAGTATATTAAGTACTTCTTAACGCACCGAGTTGAATGATTCGTTGACAAATGCTACGATTCGCATCGTGTATTTGCAGATTACCGAGCGTTGAACGATTGAAAGTTTTTCTAGCGGGCAACAAGCCATTCGTATCGTCTACGAGACGGGAACACAGCAAGATGAAATTTCTAAATCAGTCAGAAGCTATTGACATCGATAACGCTTTGGTTGGAAAATATCGGTTCAGCGTTGATCAGCTGATTGAAATGGCTGGTCTGAGTTGTGCCCTCGCGGTAAAAGATTTTCACTATCCGGTATGTACGGCACCTAATAAAGTTCTGGTTCTTTGTGGACCGGGAAACAATGGCGGTGACGGTCTCGTCTGTGCGAGACACATGAAGTCCTTCGGATATTCACCGGAAATTTATTATCCGAAAAAGTCAAGTAATGAATTGTACGAAAGACTGGTGCAACAATGCGTCGATCATGACATTCCCATACTGGAGAATTCGTGCTTAGAAGCGGCGACAGCGGACTCCACATTTTTACAAAAATACATGCTCATAATAGACGCCTTGTTTGGAATTAATTTCAAGCCGCCAGTGCGACAGTCGTTTGCTCACATTATTAACATGCTAAAGAACACAACTGTGCCTATCTGTAGCATAGACATACCTTCAGGCTGGGATGTCGAAAATGGTCCACCACAGGAAGGTGGTATAAAGCCAGAGATATTGATATCCATGTTATCGCCAAAGATGTGCGCCTCTCATTTCAAGGGAAAAGCTCATTATCTGGGCCATCTATTTGTACCTAAGAAATTGGACATGGAATATAAACTTGGTTTGCCCAAAATTAATTCAGAACTTCTTATTATTAAGTTGGAGAATAATCAAAAGGACCTCTAAGAACTGTATTGAAGTACATCACTGTACTAATTTCAGCCTTTTGAATATTTAAAATATTAAGATATACTTCTTATCATGATCCATACAGCAGCAATGTTTAAAAGATATCTGAGAGACATTTCTCTCTCTCTCCCCCTCCCACCCTACTTGTTTTGGATGTCTTTAGAATACCTCTAAGATGTATTTTAAACATTTGTGTTGTCTGGAAAATCGATATATATAAGTATCATATAAGGTATGGTGTACATAATTCTATATTGTTGAGCAAGAAATTTTTACAATTTTAGAAATAAACAGTGATATAATATTACTGTTGGTGTTTATTGCGATAGAATTATTTTCAAGTAACTTTTATTTCAGAATAAGTTCTTGAGTGCAATTCAACGTTTATCTTTCTATAATATCAACTGGTAAAATTGTAAGTTTATAATTGTGTAATGGAATGAGGAAACCAATGACTACGATATTATTTTTATATCTATACCTACTATCTTTAATTGTAACATTCTTTATGCGGCGCGAGATCTTCCTATTACGTCGCTGCAACGTGACAATCACGCTGTAATATCGAGAGACCCAAAAATCGGCATGTTTTATCCGAGCTCGAAGCTTTGTTAACGAACTGTAACCATAAGTGGTATTTCAAGCGGTTTAAATTCTAGTTACTTCCGCTCGCAGCCGATCACCGTCGTTCAATCTTGTAGATTAGTCGCATCTAAAGAGATGCTTCGATTGGTCCACTCGATCCATCTCACTTCACACGTTTGCCGCGCACGGCGCTGCGGTAATTAGATCGCGCGGCGAACGGTGTTCCACGCATGCACACATACGTCTGACGTAGGCACAATTCGTGCCTTACGCATCTTGAGGTCGGTCGTGTGGTCGTGTGCTTCTTCACGTAGACACGATCTGGTTCGCATTTCCGTGGACTCCGGATCGTACTCATCATGTCCTCAGGTATGCATTCGTTGGCCGCGACGAGGAGCTCGTCGACGGTCGACTTCTTCCGTCATAAACACGCCAGCGGGAGCGTTATCGACCTCGTCACGCTCGCGAGATACGGTCGACCTAACCAAAGCGCACGCGACGTGCTCACCATGCTTTCGTGATTGCGTCAACCTGTGAGGCATACTTCGATAACGAGCGACGTGTTCTCACGGCTTTCTTATTCGCAGGTAAGAAAGGTAAGAAGAAGAAGGGAGTGACCGTCGATCTTTGGTCATTCTTGGCGGATGGAAAAAGCAATCCCAATGTGCCGCTCAAGACGAGCAGCTGGGCGGATGATGTCGAGGACGATCACGGTGAGTCGAGGGAATTCCCTGCCGCGTTCATTCGGAACATTATCGACCAGTGGTAGATCGTGTTCTCATGATCCAGATTAAACAATTTTTTTCGGATTTTTTTTATATATTTCTGCATTAGGAATACAGCAGAATATATAAATTTGTGGGAATTATCCTTTTTACAGGATATAAGTGATTATTTTGTTACTTTATGATTGATAAGAGAGCATGTCCAAAAGAGCAAATTATACTATATGTATATTCCTGTGTATCATAAATATGTATTGGTATATACACAGGATTATTAAATATAAAAAATATATATATATATATATATATATATATATATATATATATTGATATATAATTATGTATAAGCAGAGACTCATATGATTATTGAAATTTTGGATTTTTTAATGTTGTAGATGGATTCTCATCTAGGAGTAACAAGGATCCAGTTATTTTACCAACAGCTCCAAGAGCTGCACGGGGTCCTGGAATTGATGAAGAGAATATCCCCACAAATCCACCTTATGTGGCTTATATTAGCAATCTACCCTATGATATTGATGAGTCTGATCTTGTAGACTTTTTCACAGATATGAAGGTCAGTCTTCACATATTTTTTAGAAATATGAGCATTCTGTACAATTAATCATATCTTAAGATTTATAATGTGATCATTAAATTGGAAAGTTTATTCTTTCATTTCTCTTTTATTTGTTGCAAGATGTAAAAATTATGAAGGTCAATTTTCACATTTTTGAGACATGAACATTTTGTAAAATTAATCAAATCCTAAGATCCATGATGTGATAATTAAATTGAGGAGTTTATGCACTTCTCCATTATTTGTTGCAAAGATGCAAAAGTTGCGAATTAATGTGTTGTATTTTCTCAGATTTCAAATATGCGTTTGCCTAAAGATGCAAATAAAAGTAGAGGTTACGGATATGTCGAATTCGAGGATCGGCAGAGCTTAATTGACGCTTTGTCTATGACAAACACAGTGAGGAAATAATGAACATTGATATTTATCAGTGCAGAAAATTATGTCGAGATAATTACACCATTTTTTTCACAGACAATTAAGTCGAGGCGAGTCAGAATTGAGGTATCCAACAACAGTAATGATGAACGTCGTGGTGGTAGGATGGGCAGGGACAGTCGCAGGGATAATTATGATGATCCGGAACGTACGTCTGGCGACTGGAGAAGCGGTCCGCGCGAGGAATTACTTGACGGAGATAATTACCGCAGCCGATATGATAACAGAGATCGGCGAGACGACAGAGAGAGTACGCGCGTTCTTTCTGAGTTTAATACTTAAGAATCTCAACTCGTCTTAAAAATTATCTTCCATTGCCTTTATTTAGAATACCAATCATTTATTATTGAATAACAAAGAGTCATGAAAATACTTGAGTATCTCAAAAATTTCCTCGAGAATCACTTTTACGATAATGAGACTCTTCGTTACCAAACAGGATATGATTACGATAATAAACCTGGAGCTTGGCGCGAGAGAGACAGCAGTGATAAAGGATCAACGTTTAAGGACCGGGGTGGCTTCAGGGATGATGATAAGGACAGGGACAGAGATTGGAATCGCTACGGTGACCGAGAAAGCAGAGACAGAGATGGAGGCAGCAGTTTTGGACCGCGTCGTAATTACGGCGATTCTGGTTGGGAGCGCGATCGCGCGCAAGATAGATCGAATTCAGACGCAAAACGTAAGCGTTACTTTGTGGAGCTCAAGTTAGTGCTTTATCTTCTTTTTTTAACACGATTACATTTTTTTTAAACAATTGTATTTATATTGTCCTGAAACGTTTGCAACGCTGCATTTTATCTACCAGTATACTTTTTATCAAAATAGTATGATAAAGAAAACATCACTTAAAACTCGTAGCTTCTCGCTGCGAAATTTATAAATGATAACGTCAGAAGCGAAAAAATACACGCGAAAAATTCTTGCAAAATACATTGAAATAAAAAGATATCCATAAAATAATACTTTCAATCGGTTAAGTAGACTTGTAAAATAGTCTGAGCACTTTTTCTTTGTTTGAACAATCGATAAGTAACTGTAAATTATATTTGCAAATGTACATTTGGAATTTCGCTGGACTGTGCTTAGTTACTGGAACTTTATTTAAATGTACTAACGATGTACGACTAATGACATAACATGTACAATTTGTCTGGTCATATAGCTGAACCGCGAACAAGACCTAAGTTGCAACTTCAGCCACGTACGAAACCAGTGGAGCCGATCGTAGTGGCAGAGGAGGAAACAACACAAAGTTCAACAGAATCGAAATCAGCGAAAGCTCAATCAGGGACAGCAAGTTCAACTCAGCAACAAGCGCCTGCGACTAATATCTTCGGCGCCGCGAAGCCTGTAGATACGACCGCCAGAGAACGGGAAATCGAGGAACGTCTCGCCAAGTCTTACGCAGAATCAAGATCCCGAGAGGAAACGTACGTTTGAACGATGTACTCTCATACAATTCGCTTCTTTCTTTTTGATTTTAGCGTAATTTTTACCGGACATGTGATTTTGACCAGACATGTTATAAGCGCACCCGCCATTTTATATATGTGTTATAGATGCTTGTAAGTAATCAAATAACACAAAAGTCTACAGATAAAGCTTTTAGTTTTTATAATCAATTACACACACACACATACGCGCGCGCGCGCGTATGTGTGTGTGTAAAAGTTAGATATTTTATTCACAAATAGCTCTCAAAATAAATGTGAGAAATTAAAATTAATAATATCATTTATATATTACACAAAACACAAGTAGAAACTAATAAGAATAAGAGTAATATTTATTCATTATTTATAGGTACTTCCAGTATCTTGCATCAATATATGTTTGAGATATACGGTTAGAATATCCTTCATTTTAGTAAATATTCTAGCTTTTCATTTGTCATCCATTGTTCTTTTAAAGTTTTGTTTAATTTGATCTTGTCGTTTGGCGTGAAAAAGATAATGTTCTCACAAAAATTAGACTATTGATCCATAATTGATCATGAATCCTGATGTACTTTCAGAGATAACAAGGAACGTTCCAGCAAAGACAGCACTTGGGGCCGACGCAATGGAGTGAGTATCTCAAACTGAGTATTTCATCGATGCCCTTTGACGCTAGAAAAAAATGTAAATTAATACGTAACAATTCTTGATTGATTATCAGGAAGGACGTGACGACAAGGACAAGGACAAAGATAGGGAGAGAGGCCGACCGGCTTGGAGGTCGGAGGAAGACAGAGGTAGTCGGGTCGAGAGATCGGCACCACGATCTCAAGTTGCTACTGCACGTTCTGGTAAACTTGCTTATTTAGATATCTGGATATAAAATCTATTAGTATTTGGAATTTTTATGTGATCAAACATTCAAACAAACATAAAAAAAGGAAACAAACTAAAGTCTATTATCTGTCTACTTACTATTTTCATATGAATTGTCTTCGATGTCCGATGTATTCATGTATTTGAGTTTTTGGACACTTGTGAATCGATCGAATAGATCGATTATTTATTGTGTTCAAATTGCCTGAAACTTGGATGCTAAAACTCCAAACCATTCGAATAGTTTGCATGATTTATCTGAACCTTGTTTTATCCACTGTGTGATAAAGGTGCTAATAAATATATGTCTTTTGAAAAACAGAACAGCAAAATGAAGCATCATCAACTTCGCGTTCTGGATCAGCAGTTGCTAAAGGATCACAGAAGCCTAGCGAAAAAGATGCTCGTGCTCCAGAAAGGTATTTGCGAAAGGAGATATGCATAGTGTTTATCGTAAAGGTTGATACAATCTAAAATATTCATTTTATGATTATCAGAACATCTTTTATACGCAAAATAACGTAGAAAAACTATTAATATATCAAAAGAATTACATGGTTTTACTTTAAAAAAAAAAAATCATAATGTCTTTTTAGTGGCAAATATTAAAAAAACATAATGTGGAACTCTTTTTATTAATGAAAATTTTTCCTGTGTTACTCTGATTTTAACTCTGATTTTTCTTTGTGTACCAAATGATCGTAAGTAGTATAAAAATCATGGCGACTATTATGATGATTATTTTCACATGATGTATATTTATTATTTTAATGTTTGCACATAATTATATTTCATTCATTATTGTTAAACAGGGATCGCAAAGATAAAGAGAAAGATGAAGTGAATAGAATGCCGAAGGCAAAGGATGAACAAGCTCCAGTAAGTAAAATCACTTATTGCATGAAACTATTGAACAAATCGTCTATTTGATTGGTTTCAATACAGTTCAAATACTTTTTCTCGATGAGAAGACTTCTGAGAATTATTAAAAAACTAGTTCTCCTACTGGACATTAACTGGTTTCCGAACTGCATTGAGAAAAGTGTTTCATGTTGAAGCCAAGTGTACACTTGTGATCGGAAAAGTTATCTGTTTTTTTGTAAGTTTAAGGACCTATCCTTCTTGTCCAATAGACCTTTTTTATTTAAATTCTCCCACTGGACAAAAAGAATAGATTCTTAAATTTACCAAAAAAAAAGAAACCAAACAACCTTTCTGACCACAACTGTACATATATTAATGTAAACAGTCATAACGTTGCTTTCTTTTACAGAATTTTGTAGCTTCCAACAAGTATTCCATGCTACCTGATGATGTGGACCCTGACAATATCGATGATTAGTCCTAACGATTCTAATAATTTGCATTGCCGAATAAATTGTGCCACACGCAACATAATTGGTCTATATATGCATATTATTAATAATTTGTTTTACCCCTACTAAATACTACATGGATTCGTCACGAACCAAACGTTAACACCCTTGGTATTACTTTACTGGAATTATTGTTGATTTGTATTTAATCTATTTTATTATTCTCGATATAACTCCACCTACTTATGTATTTATCTTATGGTTTTCTTCGGAACAAATCGTTAAATCGCAACGTCGCAGAACCTTTACGACTATAGAGCGAACGATTACACTGATCCTTTTGTACTTGATTCTAAAGGTGAATACCTTCTAGAATCTAAGGAATTGGGACTTTATACATCCTACTTAATCTACTGTACACAGTAACTGTACGATACGTGACTCGATTACATGTAATATAACAATGCCAATATATAGAAGGAAATTAAAAATAATAAGTATATGGGAACACAAACATCGCACTTGTATTTTATTTTCCATTTCCTATATTAATTCTGGCGGTTATGTATATTGAAAAATTTGAAATTATATATACAATCAATGAATAAAAATACTAACTGCATAACACTTGCATGTTAAAAAATACATACATACTTTTAAAAATATAAAAAATGGGATCTGCAAAAAGAGCAATAAAATTATACGAAAAATCTTACATAATATTAAAAATATATTTCATAATATAATGATATATAATATTATATTATGAAATACATATATTTCATAACATATCAGCAATAATATATAAAATATTTTATAATAAATATTTACGCGCATTAAGACTCAATTTTGTTTATAATATATTCATGTACAAAAATTATATATTTACATAATTACATTATTAATTTCTACAATTTTTCTCTACTGTTGAGTTGTCTGCGCCAATTGACGTAATTGCTTTAATACAGTTTCAAGTAGTTTCTTCTTGTCTCTCTCGCTTTTCTTTAGTACAGAAAACACCGTTTTCTTATCGGACTCTTTCAATCTAAACAAAACACGTTATTAAAATATACAAATTAATGACGTAGCGCGAAAATAATGTATGATACATACTTCTCCAACAGAAGCACAGCCATGTTTGGAGTTACTAAATTGTATTTACTGGAATCGTGGCCGTAATCATGAAAATAAGTAGGCCAATCCCAGCTCATGAATAAATCCAACAATTGTCTTAATTGCGAGAAGTACTGTAATAATGTCCCTTCCGGCAGACCAATGACTGGCTCAGAAGCAGCGAATTCTGGAAATGCGATAAAATTTCAAATTTTTTTTATTCCCAAAGCATCGCGCAACGAAAAAGACACGAAAAACTACTTACGTTCACATTGTATAGTATCTAAATTTACTTGCTGCAATGCACCCATAGATATTTGTTTCACATCCTCGCTAATCAGTATTCCTAATATCGCTTTAGCGATATGAGAACACGCGGATTTGCATGCTACTTGAGCCACCTCGTCCTGAGATATCAATTATCAATCAATTATTACAGTTTATACAGACACTTTGTATTATATTATGCCATTTACCGGTAAATTGGTAAAACAAGTAAAGGTGCTCTGTAAGAATGCTATCAGATCTGTAATAAATCCCGAAGCATGTCCTTGAGGTTCCGCCAGGTTCCAATCGTAATTCTCTAATTCTAAGAATTCGTCCAGCTTGTTTTTCAGTTTGTCGCAAATCTGCTTCTCGGCGTCATCCCGCGCTACTCGAAACATGGTGGATTCAACCCCTACGCAACTCAATTGTCCCTTGTGCGGTGTGCTGGAGAGAATTTTATATTTTAAGATATATTTGTCATAAATATGTAATCATCTATATAAAAAAATGCAATATTTACCCAGTGATATTAGTCAGAAATTCCTCTAAGTATTTTGTAGATTTTTCAAGGTAACCTGTGTTGATTATAATTTGAACCACTTGCAGAAGTGCCAAAGACGGCTTTCGGAATAACGATGACAAACACCCACTGAAGGTTCTTGTTAGTAAGAGATTCGTTGATTTGCATATCATCTCATCGATCTCTGTTTGCGTGAAGTTCAAATCCTCCGAGAACTTTAGACATGCATAAATAAATTCCTTCACTTGTTGGTAAACTTTGGGGACCATATCTGAGAAAGGAAATTTTTTAGGAAACTCTGCTCTCTGCAATTCTTCGTCATGATAAGGAAATAGATTAAGGACGTCGTCATATTCCGCTTGCATTGTAACCTGGAACAATCAAGTATTAACGTAAAGAAACAGAGGAGGGGGGAGAGAGAGACATAAAGTGACGTAAAATATACAGAGTGTTTCACACAAAATGCATTCTAATACATTTGTGCAGGCAGACCATGTTAAGTTGAGCAAAAAATACTAAGCAAAATACAATTAGTAAAGCAAAATACAATTTTTCAAATAATCATAAAATTTTGAATAAATCTTTTTTCATTAATTACTCGAAATTTTATATATATATATATATATATATATATATATATATATATATATATATATATAT